CAATATTGTTAATAATTTGCTTTGCTGATCGTCTTCTATGGTTATATAACAAATAGTTGCATAATGTTGCAAGATTAGTTGCAATAATATTGTCTGGAATCAAAAAATGTCTTAAAATAAATGGCATAAGCATGATAAGTTGCAATGCGTCTGAAAATGTACAAGTCTTGAGATGAGTAACAGGATTAAGCAAACAATGCCAAGTCGATGGTTTCTTAAAGTATTGTCAATGTTTCAAAAACTGCCGTTTTCTACTTTCATTCAACAAATTGAAGGTACATTCTAATAATTTCTGAACCTTACCAGCAATCGCGTGATAAGTATCTTGAGGCGTCTGCAAATAAATGTCACGTGATAAGGTTGATAAAATGTCTGGCTTTGACCTGATACTATGGCATTTTGTAAAATCGCCAATCTCTGTTTTGGTTGCATTTTGATTTATTAATATCTGTAATTAGAAATAGTATTAATATGTTTTTTTTTAATTAATTCAAGAATGGTTATAATAATAGGTGAAGCAAAGAAAATATTAATTTAAAAAAAATATATACTATATTATCTACCTGCAATTTAATGAAATGTTGTTTAGTAATATGATAAAAACACACGTAATGTATTCTATCAAATGTAGTATCAGTCAATCGATCTTTAGGAGCAAGACAATTTCGACATCCATAGATAGCACCTTGTTTTTTAACGTCACCTAGGTCATTTTCCTGGGGCAAATCAACGGTTATTAGTCCAATCGAAGCAATAACCCACACTGGTTCATTGTTTATTTTCATAATGATGCCTTTTTCTAATTGATAAAGTTCTGGGAGCAAAGGGCATATTATATCATCAAAATGACCCCCGAATAGTACAAATCCTACAACGAAGTAATTTTTAATTGCTTTCTTAAATTGAAAGACATATTACCTATTTGGATGTAAACACCTCCTAGTGAATGATACACATTATGAAATGTGCCAAAATCATCATTGTAAATGTCAATCATAAACTTAAATACTTTTATATTATTATTATGCAAGGGTAATACATTTATGCTTAGCACAGCAATATACTCAGAAGGATGATGGTGTCTTAAATTAACTGGCCGGATTTGTATTCATTTGGTAACAACATCGTGGTATAAGATTTCAGATACACAAAAATCGTAGGATACAGGCTGGGGTAAATCTTCAATCCATATTGAGACATGCCTTATAACATTATTGGAAGAAATCATTTTATAATTTTCTTCAATCATCCAAAGCTTATTATGTCCTTTGCAATTTCTATCTTGGCTACGATAAATTCCCAACTCGTCATGTCTTAAAAGTCTCAACATCTTTAGAGCATCTTGCGTTTGGGTACCTGAATGATTAGATTCAGATAGTGGCACTGAAACAATGGCTTCTATTCTTCCAAATCATTTTTCACGTTGACTATTTTTATTAATGCAAATAAACTCCACAAATTGTGCAATGGTGTATTCAGCTAAAAACGAATTCAAAGTATATTAATGCATAGTAAATTATTGTAACAGCTTATGCTGACTAAATTTGAATACTTCTAATGTAAATAAACTTATGCTCCTTTATTAATCTTAATTTTAACACAATTGTAAAAAAATTAACAAATATATGCCCTAAAAATTCTATATTGAATTTCAGCAGCTGCTGCTAAAATTGTAAATAACTTACTATTATTTATAATAATTGTAGCATTGCTATATAAAGGAGATCACTGCCAGATGTCGCCATGCCATAGTTCTAATTTTTCCTGACTTTCAATGCCACGTCCAAAATACATCTTTGTCATTAGACGTGGGTTATTCAAAACACGGCTAAGATGCTTCTTTATTGAAATAGTATAAACAAGTTTGGTTGGCTTTGACGTAGAAGATGTTTTCTGATCATCAATAGAAATAGTATGACTTTTTATATTCAACAAGGGCATTTTAGTTCATTGAGATCGAAAGCGCCTTACATTTTTTGGAGCATAGTGAAGTTGAAACCATAGATGCTTAATAATTACTATTAAGTCTTCGTACGTCTTTGTGGCTTAAAAAAAATTTTTTTTTAGAATAGACAATATACAAAATCAAAACGCTTTGTAATATAGTAACAAAAAAATACTTACATATAATGTGTTTAGTAACCTATAAGAAAAGCATTTGTTCGGTAAAATTAGTGAAATATGGTCCATATTCACCGTTAAATGGCTTGAAAGATGCAGGTCCATCTACTATTTTTTGTATAGATGAATCATCATTATCAATTAAAACATCATCACTATTATTTTTAAGGTTATTGATATTGTCTTCAAAGCTATCATTACTGCCTTCAAAATCGTCATTATCGATTAAAATGTCTTCAAAATCATTATTACTGTTCTCAAAATTGTTGTCTTTATTACTATCTTCAGGATTATTACTGCTAATTACTATGTCTTCAAAATCATCATATTTGTCTTTATTACTATTTCCAGAGCTGTCGTCATTAATTGATATGTTATCATCTTCATTACTGTCTTCAAGGTCATTATCGCTTTCATTACTATCTTCAAAGTCATCATTGTTGGTTACAACGTCTTCAGAATCGGCATAACTTTCATTAAGTAAGTTATTAATTGAAGTATCTTGAGAATTATTCACTACAAGCCTGGTTCGTTTGTGCGACAACAAGCGAGGCCGTCTTACTCTCCCGAATGAATAGCAAATTTCTGTTTTAGAGTGCGTATATAAGTCATCACAAGGTCTAACCATTTAATATCCGCAACGACCAATTCTTATTTTGTTATTTGCAAAAAAAAAAATTGACCTTTGATTACAAAGGCAGTCTATTTATATATAGATATTATAAATGAGGTAATTAAATTTTGATAAAATATATGATTTACCTCGCATACGTAAAATATTTGTAAAGATCCCTGCATAATTAAACTGACCTAGTGTTACAAATCTGATAAAAAAAATTCTCTGTAAGATTAGGATTAGGTTTATTAATAAGTTAATTTAGAAAAGGCTTTAATAGAGCCAAAATTTTGCAATGAAGACTTTTTGTTAGTGCACAGTAGGTGGTTTTATAGATAAAATGTCGAGTTATAAGCAATTTCTTGGTTTGTTTTAATTTTGCATTTCTTCTGCAGGTTGGTAACACTAGGACAGCTTGCATAAATAACTATTTTTATACTACTCAGTTTTTCCGTTACTACATATTACATAAATTGTATTCTTGTTATCTATCATAAACTACTAATGGCTTCAAGAAAAGTAATCTTAACTTTGGCTTTACGTTACCAAATATGAAAAATGTCGATCAGCCAATCAAATCGTGAATTTTAACAATGAAATAAGTTCAAGGCACAAAGTAAAATAATCTTTACTAACTTTATATAAATTTATTTTCAAATCCAAATATTTATATTAATGACTAAAACAATTATATCACATGATCGATTTGTGTAACAGGTCCAATATCGCATTTACTTAAGTTTAGTAATCATATTGATGTATATGTACTATCGTTTTTAATGGATGTTTTAATTATTATAAAGCACAAACTTAGATATTCTCTTTGGATCATCTCACATATTTATTGCTAATATATACTGCACTATTCATTTATTAAATACATAAACTATATATTTAATAAATTACTATTTAAGCTTTAAACAATTTGTAATCTATCTTGACTCAGGTAATAATTAATTAATTAAGATAACAAGCCTGATAAATGATTCTGTTTGTGCTACAAGATGTGTAGTGAAAAGAACCAGTATAATCAAATTGCAACTATTATTTGCTGCTGCCTTTATTGTCTAGTTCTCTCTTTAATAATAATTTAAAGTCGGTATCATTGAGATTCAATACATTTCCAGCATCATAAATATTATAGTTCAAAGTAAGGCGATCTAGATCCCTGATTTTAACAAGTCTTCTTTCATCGGCCAATATTTCTTCAATCATTTTTAAAAGACATTTGGACATAAATATCCACCAAGCCTCCTTAAATTCGGTCATAAATGTTGCTTCTTCATCAATCACCTCAAAGAAACGTTTAAGAAATGACTGCCAAACATCTTTCTGAAAATAAGCTTGAACATCGGATTGCACGACTTGAGAAAGAGATTCAATCCTGTAAATTAAATTAATTATAATTGTCATGTTAAAACTAATATTAGTATATGAAAAGTAAAACTAATCCAAAACCCTAAATAAAATCAAGTTACTTAAAATCCTCAATGAAATGTTCTGCAACTTTTCCGAGACCATTTCGAAGTGCGTTTCTATAACTTCGAAATGCTGCATTGGCAGCCACCTTTAAAACAGATATATCTTTATATGAGAATTTTCTAGATGGAAAGCATAGCCTAATACATTTATGAATGATTGCTTTTGTAAGGTGTCGTATTCTAAAAACAAGCATTTTAAATATGCTTGAAATGTCATTGATTCCTAAAAGTATTTTGTAAAAATTAGTATTGCATATGAATTTTAAATATGACACCTTACTTGTTGAGTAAGAACATCAGTGCTTTTTTTATCGTTTGACTTTTTAAGACCATCATATTGGGCCATTTGGTTTGCAATCTTTAAAAGTTTTTGTTGTTCAGCAACATATGCCACTGCTTCATAATCAGAATTGAATGAAAGAGTTTTGTGACTACTTGACCGAGATCGAGAATATTGATATCGTTGTGATTAAGAACGAGAACGTTGCAAACGAATGTGTCGAGAATGAGCGTCTTGGTGATCAAGAACGAGAACATTGTGAATGAATGTGTCAAGAACGAGAGCGTCTTGGTGATCGAGAACAAAAGCATCTTGGTGATCGAAAACAAGAGTGTCTTGGTGATAGAGAAAGAGAATGATATGAATAAAGTTGTATTGGTAATTGTAAATGAGAATAACGTGAATGTTGAGAATGCCTGGGTGGTTGATAACTCCTTGGTGATCGAGAACAAGAATATCGTGATCGAGATTGCCTCTGGGATTAAGAACGAGAATATCGTGATCACGAATCCTCAACATTGTTGTTCAAAGCTGATTTATTAATGGAGTCAAAGTCTTTATTATTATAGTCTTCAAGATTACGACTTCCAATATTCTTAGTCATGTCATTAAGGGTTTTGTTGTGCTTGATTGAAAACGTTTGCTTTTTATTAGATATAAACGTCTGTTGGTTGGCAGACGCTCTCTTAGAGATACGTGTATTATTAAAAGAGTTAGAGTCTTCAGATTCAGAATCTTCGGGTTTAGAGTAATAGTTTTCGACATCCTTATCCAGGTCATTATGAATATCATTGCTCTTGATTGGTTTAGAAGATGTAAATTTCTTTTGACTTGCAGATGCTTTTTTGGAGGTACGTGTATTTCGTTTCAAACTAGCTTTCTTAGGCATTATGAACAATTTCTTTCAAGAATGGTATACTTTTAATAAATAATAGGTATTATCTATTTATTTTTTTATATTTAATTCTGTTAGTTGTATAAATAGTGATGAAATCTGAATTGTATATACGATTTTTTTAAATCAGTATAGCTATTTGGACAATGCTTACTATAACAGTTCGAAAACCTTGATTGCACGTGTAACTAGGTATGTGTTTTATTATCTCAGTTTATTCAAACGAAAGGCTAATTTTATTTATTTTTTTAGCCTTGATATTACTTTTGCATTATATTATTTATGTCACTTCCCCTATTAAACTTGTTATATACTCCGCTTATATTAAATTATACTTCATATATTAATTTATTTCGTCATAATTTACATACTGATCACAATATTGATGCATCCGATCACCTATATTTCTCTTACGATCAATGCAGAAACCAAACTTATCACATAAAATTTGCCTTATATTTAACCTTCGTTATTACCCTTTATTTTAATAAACTAGAACCTTCATTGCTCAAAGAATTTTGAACCAAATACAAGGGTTTTCTAAAACTACATAACAGTAATTTAAAGAGAGAAAGATCTAATAATAATGTAATCCAAGAATTTATAGTAAACGAAGATCTAGTAAGTAATAAGTGATCTAAACTAAAAATCTAATAATGTGATCATCTAAAATTTTTAAGAAAGTAATATCTACTGTAATAATATTATGATTCTGTTTAATAAGAATTTAAAAAAATAAAGAACTAATCTTATCGTGTTCTTATCTAATAGACATTTAAAGAGAAATTTGCAAATGAATATCTAACTACTATAGATACACAAAATTTTGTTTATATAGAAAATACTCTATATTTATTAGGAATTGCTGTGATATAACATATAAAATATTTTCAATATTTTTTTATCTTAAATTTTATTGTAGTAGAAGGTTTTTTTACAGAATTAGCTTTAATTAGAATTAACTAATATGTATGTACATTGTGGTGCGTTTTGAGATTTTTCTAATCTACTTTCCTATTAAATATTTTTTTGTTTCCTTTTAACAGAAAACAAATTTGGTTTTTGCTGATCAGGATCTATTGATATAAGCTAACAACTAAATACTTCTTTTTTGCTATGGAAATATATAAGATTCATAAAAGTTTATTTGCTGATCTCTTGACAAGTTTAAATAGTATGAGTCACAAATCCTCAGTTCTGTGATGTACTCAATTTTTTCACGAATAGATAATTGCACTTTTTTTTTGTCCACTCTATTCAACAAAAAACGGGTTGTTTTTTGCTGATTCACTAAATACAGGAAAGAGTTAGGAATCAAGCGCTTCTCTTTAGTTGGCTTTTATATAAAGAATTTTGTTATAGTTTATTTGTCAATTCTTGTTCAAGTACTATAGATCGTAAGTTATAAATTCTATGATGTAATTTGTAAACAATTTGGTTGGCCTTATAATTCCACTTAATAGCAATTTCAATTGGATACTTTGCTTAGAAAATTACTAATCTTTGACTGTCGTTTAATTTAACAGTTTTGTTGAAATAATAGTTTAATCTTTGACTGTCATTTAATTTAACAGTTTTGTTGAAATAATAGTTTAATCTTTGACTGTCGTTTAATTTAACAATTTTGTTAAAATAATAGTTTAATCTTACAGACACTATCACTTGTAATAGTATAAAATAGTATCTAACTTCCAGAGTAGTAAAAATACTACCTATACAACTACTAACTACTATATTCGACCTAAAAAATAAAGCATTTTGATCGATATGTGTATAAGTTTGGTTTGAATAATTAGGGCTGGATATAGCATTTAGTGGTTGGATAGTAGATACATAGTGTAATGTATGATGATTTTATGAAATCGCATAAACTACTAATATAATTGCCAATATATAATATATGTGCATCAAAATGCATAATTTACTTTTTATTGCAGCATAAAATCATCATCCTTGTGTCGACGCAATAAATTTTGTTACATAAGTTTGTTTAATCGGCTGATACAAATCAATTGCCCAGATAACTTATTAATATGTTTTAAATTACTTTCTGAAAATGTGACGTTTTACTGACAAAAATTTACCACAAACATCATTAATAGCGTTAGAAAAGTACCTTTGTTCATTGTGTAAAAAAAAGCCTAAAACTAAAACTTAGAATACTACCATTTATTGAACCATATTAAACTATGCAGTGGAATGAGGTACTGGAAATGTTTTGTTCAAGTTTACCTTGTTATGCTAGATTTAACTAAACTTCTATACTAACTATTAGTTAATCTGAATAGGAATAAGCTTATACAAAGGAAAGTTCAGATTTAATACTTGAGTATATTCGGTTCTTACAATGTGTTTGGATTTGTCAATCAATCATAATAAGTTTCAGTTTATAGATTGTTATTGTATTAATAAGTTTGAATTTTTACTTTACTTTATATGTGTCTATCTATTCTTTATATATATAGGATTAATTAATTTTTTCATATTAATTTATAAGCTTCTTTATATGAAGTTTTTTTTTATTTCTTAGTATATATGATATATAGTATTAAAACTGACAAATATATTTTAAAATTTGTATAATTTTATCATAAATAATCATATATAAAATTAGCAAAACAGATGAATTTCTTTCTAATATTGTAGTAGTCTACATAGGTTGGAGGTTAGATTCAATCATGTGAGGATGACATTAGAGGTTTTTTTATTAAATTATAGATTTAAAAGCAAAATCTAATTATATAATATAGTTCTATCTAAATAGAAATTTTTTATTTATGATTTTAATTATATTTTGAAATAATAAAAATGTACTATATTCTACAATATGAAGTTTTTTTCTATCAATAAAATTGTTAAATTATTAATAGTATCTAGTATTATCCAATCTTAACAAAAAATAAAATTACAGTGATGTTCTATAGAATAGGTTGGCAAACTTCACAAACTCCACAATTCTGCTATTAAAAAATTAATAATTACTAATCATTAGCGAAGCTTATTTCTTATATTGCTCACCTATTCTATAGAACATCCAATTATAGATATTTATATTAATTAAATATAAAAGTATACAAGTTTAGTTGGTTTTTTTGGCTAAGTTATTTGTTATTATTTTATTTAGATTTTTATTAAAATATTTTACAAATTGCTTATAATATAAAAGTTATATACTTGCTATTATACTATTAGACCCAAACTCTAGTTAAATTACTTTTGAATAGTATTAATAAATAGATAATTTCTATTTGTATACAGGGTGTATGTATACAGACAATATAAATATTTTAATTGACGATTCTCCAGTCAACTGAAGAATGATCATAGTAAAACATGACGTGATTCTATATATAAATTACTATAGATGCGAAAGTAGAAATTTTCTAGTGATTGTCCAAAGAAAACTTTTTTTCGTAC